AGGAACCGATTACGTGGACGATAGCATATATTTTTCTACATTCTAACTGTCTTGATTTATGAACTGAGAATGTGATATTGCAACCACAGAAATACCTACCCATGTTTTATGAAAATACTGAAATACGAAAAAAATACATGAATAAATTTGGATCTAGATTTAGTGACTTAATTATGGAACTTAAAATAACAAATATAAACAGTATTTCCTTATGATATAACACCTAAATGTATGATTTGCCAATGGTTGTCAATGAGACGTTGTTTAATACGCAGCTTTTGGGGAGGGGAGGGTAAAATCCTAAATATAACCTAGAATAAAATACAATAAAACAATGGCTACAGAAGTGTTGTAAAGAATGCTTGGCAGGAAATATACGTGCATTAAATAACATTTCAAGAGAGTAGTTATTAAATACGATTCACAGTATATTAATTATTTAACCCTATTGCGTTGATTAATATTTTTCTTAAAGTGAAATTCTTTTGAAACAGAAAATTTTAATACCCCATCATGTGTATATCCCTATTTGATGACTACTTGTATATATTTAAATTGCATAATCAAATTTAGATTTATGGATGAGAAAGAAACTTGATTTTGCACGTTAACTTGTATCTAATTGTAGATTACTTTAATGATAAACTAAGACAAAATCACTCCATGACCGAAAAGAAATATCAGTATGTTGAACTCTGCAATTGGGCATGAGAGACTGTAATGCAACGGCATATGCCAAGGAAACCACTCCCATCTTGGCGATAAAGTAAAATTATCTGCTCTTGAGTTAATGAAAAGGTCACGGCCATTGTTAATCGCACGCGGACACCATTCGCTATTATCCTTTCCTTGATTATCAAGAAGGTATGTTGTTTCACACTTATTCCAACATTGAATCGGGTGGGAATAGTACTATGTGGTATCGACTCGATAGTTATGTGTTTCACTACAGTAAATAAAAATGTATCCGACGTTAAATCAGTTGTGCATTCTCCGTGTTGTTGAAATGTCGAGGCGAACCACACAGTTTCATGCAATATAAATGCAATCTCCAAACGTAAAGCTGATTATTTGCGTGAAACAGACACTAATTTGAATGCCATTTCTAAAATGATCTAAGCTCCTTACAATTGGTCCGGACCAATTGTAAGTTTCGATTTGTAACTTACAATAATCTTAGCCTACAATTGCTTTGTGCAAGTAGATGGCGATTGTAACCGAAGCCTAAGATCGCGATCTTAAGGATTTACAATAATTGTAGCTCTAAGATCGTTCTGTGCAAGTGGGCCCAGGAAAATCAATTACCCATACCAAAGGAGCCTTGGTGGCTCGATCCGCTAAACTGCTGGGAAAATACAGCTTGCTTTGTGCAGCAGAGCAACTCTGCGATTGCGAGTTCGTATCCCGCCTGGCCTCTAAAGATTTCCTGAAAGGATAGTAAGGTTATCGAGAGCACGCAGTTGCATGCAAGCCCACAAGGGAGGAAGCTTGCACATCGCATCTATCTACAATTTCTTTCTCCCCTGTGGGATTGTGACTACAGCAGACATTTTGCTAAAATAAATTCAGTGTATATCAATGATGCTCTCAATCGCCAAGGCTCCATTTTTTCATCATTGATGGAGTCTTAATTTATAAAATTATGACTTATTAGGGACCTGAGCCCTATACTACTTGTCTTCTCAATAAGGCAGACAGAGCTGACAACGTGCACACACTTCCAAGTCAGATTGGCATCCACAATCTGCATGACCTCACAATCAAATTGACCGCCTCCGTGGTGTAGTGGGTAGAGCGTCCGCCCGGAGAGCGGAAGGTCGCGGGTTTGATCCCCGACCGTGTCATACCAAAAGACGTTAAAATATGGTACTTGTTGGACCCTGCCTGGCTCTCGGCATTACTTGGTACAACAAGGACTGGCCAGCTCGGAGTCAGTATAATGTGTCTGAGTGGGGTATTCATGTGTATCTCAGTATCTCAGTGGGCTAGCACTATAAAACCAGCTTAAGTCTGGGCTAGTACAAGCAGCCGCATATACACATATACACGCATGCACGTCATCATATGAGCAATCTCCAAATGGATCACCAGCGACAGTTGTATCAACTTCACATCAACAGAATCATTCTACATGTATGCATCATTTGTATTGGCGACATCCAAAAACTTCAGATCGATGGTCTGCAGACATGTACGTCCAAAGGTTCATTTACATTCGGATTTGATTTACCCATGTCGTGATGAAAAGGACATTGAATTCTAAAGTAAGACAGTGTCAAGAAATGGAAACACCACGAAAGTCTGTAACCTATCAGGTACTCAATCATCCAATTTAATCAGGATTTATCAGAATGTAGCTGAATTTTACTCTTGAAAGTATCACTTTGGGAAATAATTTGGGACTGTTCATCAGCTGGACAATTTAAAATGAGCATATCGTTCAGATGTCTTCCACTGAGGTGTTTTTTACCAGCAATCATGAAGGCTAAATCTACATTCAGTTGGTACACTACGGACTTGAAGTGTGATGGCTATGGCTGCTTAAACAGTGAAATCTGGGTTTGCTCTAAACGATAGTTTTGAAACAACTAAAATCACTCTTCACACAGACACCATCGTTTGACACTATAATGATATCATTATTTTGTGAACCATTCAGAGATAACATCTCATGAGTCACCGTTTTAAAAATATTGTGGACAGTTTATATAACCAGGATTTCCAGTTGACTACTTGTGAAGATCCGGGTTAGAATTGATCTTCAGTAAACCATGCTTGTCGTAAGTGGCGACAAAAGGGAGCGGGTGGTCAGGCTTGCTCACTTGGTTATTCCAATTGCGTAGATCAATGCTCATGCTGTTGATCACTGGATTGTCTGGTCCAGACTCGATTATTTATAGCTGGAATTTTGCTGAGTGCTGTGTAAAACTAAACTCACTCACTCCAGTTGAAAGTTGCAGAAAATTGAAACTCCATCTTATTAGTGATTTTATGTTTGCAGCAATTCATAGGATATCTTATTCATTTTTAGATGATAGGGACCATCAAGTTTCAAATTTACTGGCCAAGGTCATATTTAACCAATCATTATCCATGATATGCAGGAGAAAGGAAACACTGACACTCTAACTACATTTTCGATTCTCAACAGAAATTTTCTCATTGTTCACTATACATTGTGCATGAGTAGGTGTACTCTCCATGGCATTGCCTTTTGTATGTGCGAGGTGTTAAGAAACTTCTTTCGTGTGCTTAACGAATCATCAACTCTTTTTAATTCTCTGACACCTTGGTAGTAGTTTCACGTCATAGTACAAGTTAGTTTTTTCATGTTATAATTGCATCATAATACAGGTGTTTTAGGAAGCTCTTTTCTTCAGTAGACTAGTTTATCCCCATCCATATGCAATAAGTGCTTACAGATTATGGTCTTAAGGGATCCTCACTGCTTGTTTGAGTGAGTATGGTTTTACTCTACATTTAGTAAAATTCCAGCAATATCATGGCAGGGGATACCAGTAATGAGTAATGGGCTTCACTGGTTGTAGAGCTGAAGAGCTGTTACATCTCTCAGCCTTTTACGCTGCTAGACTGCACAGGAAACAAGACATCAAGTGTAGATAATGCTGCTGTTTATGGACACATGTTCTGCATGATTAGAAGGAAGAGGTGCTGCCCTTGCTGCTGACACTTCAAGCATATCTTTTTCAACAGTTATCCCATCCGTCTCCATACCGTTAACCACAGCATGTGCAAATTCAAGACAACTGATCCATGCTAGAATTCCATTTGAATTCTGGCCACAGTTATATTATGAGAGGCAAAGGGACTCATTTGACTTGGCCAACACCATTACATTTACCCAATAGATTTCATATCAGGTGGGGATGACCTCAAAATTGTAATCAAGGTTGGTTATTCTAAAAAAAATTCCAATATTGTAGAAAATCATAATATTTCACTGGGAAAAACATCTTCAAATGCTTTTCATGTTTGTTTGTTTTTCAAATATCACTTAACCTTAGCTTTGATCTTGTGGCCACAGAAAAAAACCATCACAATACTAACCTTCATCCCAGAACCAGGGATGAGTAATACAGAATATTCTCACCAACCTCTTTTTCCCATTGGATAACATTGGTTTGGGAAACATGTCAGGTTATCAAGATCATCATATCTCAACAAGATGTGTCTGTCCTGCATTAGCTGGCATCAGACCTTTCTCCAAGGAAAGGCTTTATCCATAATTTGTATGGGCATGCACAATCAGCAGATATTTGAAAGGATAAAGGGTTTTTCTATCTTGCACGCGAGAGAGCTTATACACATACAACTAATCATGTATAGTTGACTGTGATGAGAACTTCTGTTAAAAAGAAGTAAAGAAGATTTAGTTAACATGTGATCACAGCTAAAATACAGGGTTATGTCAGTGATGTAATAGAATTAGATTCCAGAGAATTATTAACAGTGATAACTTGTGGTTTATGTATGTGGTTTTCAAAACTTTCATTCTCAGACTTCTGCAAAGTTTTGTCCTGAGAATGGTGGTTGGTCACTGTTCTTATTTTACAACGTTTTTATCATTACTAAGATTACTATCTCAGCAAACAACATTGTTAATCAGATAACAAAAAGATTTGAGACTTCATCCCTAACAGACAATTAAAGTGTCATATTCCACAGTAAAGAATCTTAATACTGCACCATTAACTCAAAACACCATTTACTCTTATTATAAAAGTATGAAGCACACAGACATGTGAAGTATCAAATGATACATTTGTATCATACATAGTATCAAATGACTCTTAACATTGCGTCATCACAAAACTCACAATATTTTTTCTTATATGGTTTTGTTGACATTGAAACTGATGACTACATATCCATTGAACTTCAGTGCTGCGACTGATTTTTTGTTTGTTTATTGTGTTATGGACATGAACCAAAGTGCAAAATTTATTCTTATCTCTACTTTCATGTCATGTTTATTACAGAAATTACAGCGACAAATAGATGAGGAGACTAGAGCAAATGCAGAGATAGAATCTTATTTGAGGACCCACCATGCGGTGAGTAATTTATCATTATAACAGTTGCTCTATGCCTGATACATGTCAGAAGACATTCTGGTATCAGCAGCAGGTCTGACCAACAATGCAATAGGTTTGAAGCAAGCAAGTCTTTGCTTCAAATAGATGTGAAATTTCAACTAATCACAGAAAGTAACTGCTGTTTTTTTTTGAGGATGAATTCATGTCATATTCTCCTTTTTGTTGTAGTCTCAACATATCATAGGACCAGATGGAAGAGTCATTTCTATGGTAGATGCATGAAAATACAGCCAAATGTCTTGTCACAAATCCACTTCAAACATGTTGTACGCTGTTGTTTTCACATTCTTGTCTGTGGTTGCTGAGAGTTTATTGAAGCAGTAGAAATTATTATGAAAGCACAAGAGTCATCCTTTGGGCAGGTGTCCTCCCATTGTACAGACAGGCAGTTCGCAGACACCTTAAAACAACAACATTTGCGGTTCAATGAACAGATTAGCTTCTACCAGTTACCTACACATTATAATGGAATAATCCAAATAAAAACACAAGAAATTTGCGACTCTGTTGCATCATTTAAATCTTGTATCCATGTGAAAGAAAGATGTGCACCTAATTATTATTCATATGGAATAAGAAAGTTCAATGTTTTGCACACAAGATTAAGATATATGATGAGTACACTTAGTAATGATTTATTTTTAAAAAATATAAAGAAATGACGCATCATGTCAATGTGGCCATGGATGTGAGAATGTTTTTCATAGCTTCATTTAATCACAACAAAGTTCTCTTTACACACAGTCAAACTTCTCAATAATGAACCTGTTTCAAGCTCACTCAACTCGTCTCACTACACAGTGGACTGTTCCATTATACCCGTAGGTGTTACCCTAATTAACCTTCTTGTTCAGTGTCAATCGGTTGTCTGTCAAATGGGTGTCTGTCAATTGGGAGATAACCCTTGGGCAGGACTGCAATCTGATAAGGATGTGAGTGACATATATATAAGGTAATAGACTTGGTGCATATCTGACTGACTGAGTTTAGTTTTACGCCGCTTTAGCAATATTCCAGCAATATCATGGCGGGAGACACCAGAAATGGGCTTCACACATTGTGCCCATGTGGGGAATCGAACCCAGGTCTTCGGCGTGACGAGCCAACGCTTTAACCACTAGGCTACCCCACCGCCCCTTTTGGTGCATATCTTCCTCAGTATAAGGTCCTAGTGAAGGTCAGTCTTAAAGTGGCACTGATCCAGAGCAATTTATGTTTCATACCAACAATCTAATTACGTCAGGTGGTGTGTCCCTGCTCCCTCGGCTGTGATGGACATGTAGACTGGGAAGCTGTCCACCTTGGCAGAATTTCTTCAACTTAAACAATGGGACAATAAGAATGGTGGATACCCATCAGATGCCGTTGTGTGCAAATATCCCCCGTAGTTCTTGTCTGATTGTGATAAAGTATCCCATCAGGATTTTTCAGATTTTCTGATGCATCATGTAACAATGTGATGTCTGTTGACCTATGATATTAATAACACACATTTGATTTATTTAAATCTGTAATCTAAATCAACCCTACTTTCCAATTGCTAGAAAAAATAGGAAAATTTCCTCAGGTAAATAGGTTTAATAATAATAATAATAATGTATTTATAAAGCGCCTAATATCCACCATAGTGATGCTCAGTGGTGCTGTGACAATTTTGGGGAAGGAAATAGTTCATATAACTTTACAGAAAGGCAGCAGTGACTAGATGGGTCTTTAGCAGAGATTTAAAAGTTTCTTTCGATGAAGTGTTCCTGATTTCCTTTGGAAGAGAGTCCCACAGTTTAGGGCTGGCAAAGGAGAAGGCTCGGTCAGACAATTGGTTTGGAGATATGTGTTGAGTGAGGAAAGAGTCAGAGGAGGATTGGAGACTTCGCTGAGGTACATACACAGAGACGATATGTTTGAGATAGTCGGGAAAGTTATCATTGTAGAGGCAGTCATGAGTAAGAATGAGGATTTTGAAGGTAATTCTTGCAGAGATGTGGAGCCAGTGTAGAGACTGTAGTACTGGGCTGATATGGTCATGACAATGAGTGTGGGTGATACATCTGGCAGCAGAATTTTGGATTCTTTGTAGTTTCTGGAGTGATTTAGTAGAGAGGTTGGCATATAGTGAATTACAGTAGTCGAGTTTGGAAGTGACAAGACAGTGCATCAGAAGTTTACAAGTGTCAGTATCAAGGTAGTAGCAGACTTTGCTGATATTATGGATGTTGTAGTAGCAAGCTCTACTGATGGAGGTGATGTGTGCATCCATGTACATGTTGGAATTGAGGATGACACCAAGATTCCTGGCACTTTCTGATGGTAGGATGTCTGTGTCACCAATACGAAGTGAAGGTTTATAGGTATTGTCCCTCCGTCCGTCCATCCGTACATAATCATTTTGAACATAACTCGAAAACCGTTCAATATTTTTCAACAAAACTTGGTAGATATATCAAACAGAACCTTAAGTGGTGCCTTTTGCTGTTTACAGATTTTTGTCATTTTTATTTTTCTTGGTATCCGTGGAAGCACTTTAGACTTACCAGTACTCTCAAAAGGGAGTGGTGGGCTTCGTTTCCAGAGCACAACTCGAAAACTTCTTAACATCTTTCAGCAAAACTTGGCAGGTATGTGAGGCAGATCCCAAAGTGGTGCCTTTTGCTATTTGCATATTTTTGGCATTTTTATTTTTCCCAGTTTCCATGGAAATGATTCGGACTTATTCTCAAAAGGGAGAGGTGGGCTTCGTTTCCGGAGCACAACTCAAAAACCGATCAATATTTTTCAGCAAAATTGGTAGTTATATCAAACAGAACCTAAAGAGGTACCTTTTGCTATTTGTAGATTTTTGGCATTTTTATTTTACCCGGTTTCCATGGAAACAATTTGGACTTAGTCTCAAAAGGGAGGGGTGGGTTTCGTTTCCGGAACACAACTCAAAAACTGTTCAATATCTTGTCAGTGGATGTCCTTCTTTGGCACAAACAGCATATCTTAAATGACATGATGGCATGGCTCGTTGATTTTACTACTGTCTCCGTCATACCTGTGGCTTTGACTCCGAGGTCCATCCATGGTACGACCCTGAACATGTCCAGGGCGTCATTGAAATTGAAGCTTTCAAAGTTCTGTTGAATAGGCCTATATTCAGCCTCAGAAGAATTCCAGAAAACAAACCTGATCTTGTACTTTTTGATAAAGCCAATGAATTTATTTATATCATTGAATTTTCTGTCCCTTTTGACAGCAATGTGATTGGCAAGATTCAGAAAAAGCATGCTAAATATGCGGACCTTGCCTTTGAAATGTCTCGCTTGCATCCCAAAGACACTGTCGTCAGGCCCCCCATTGTTCTCGGTGCCCTTGGTTAGGTACCTTCTGATCTCTTGGCGCAGATCAGGAAAGTGCCCCAGTTCTCCACCGAGAGCACAGCCCTTCTGACACTCTGGGTAATGCAGATAGCTGCAGTGTTAGGGAGTCTACATATTCTCCGGAAAGTTCTTGGTGGGTTCAACTAGGCAGCATTTCCTGAGAGAAGTCCCATTTGCTGTCTGGGCTGCGTGTAGAGGGGCCAAGGGCCCTGATCTGATGATGAGCCTTACGAGCCTAACTGTGCCAAGATCACCCGAACCCTCTCTGCTGCATTTTTCATCTTAATCTGTAAACCATAATAATAATAATAATATTTACAGTTTTTATCTTTAGTACACAGCAAATGCTTATATGTAGTTTCTTCTACAACAATGAAGTTCTGTTTGTGTCCTCAAAACAGCATTGACTTTTTTTAGGCAATTAAAATTGCATACAATAAGCAATTACTACTCCCTTGCTGTAACCCATGTTTTTTGGTATAAACCAACACCTGTTTATTTGTCACCATTCACTTGATGGTCAGTTAATGAATTTAATGAGTTAACTGGTAGTCTAGACTGCGGACTTTGTGTACCCCACTGAAATGTGTAAATTGGCACGGCTCAAACGGCTGAAAGCTATGATTACACAATGCCACAGTTCTAAATGGTGTTTAGATTAAACTGCCATTTAGACTACCAGTTGTCTGACTTCCATTTTTGTCGCCAAGCAGGTAAGGCGGCTGACTTTGTGTGCTGGCGATTTGGTGCCTGACTCTGAGGGGGTGTGGGTTCGAATCCCGTATGGGACTCAACCCACCAAAAAGTACTAGAATTTGTACTTTACTAAGAAAGTGTAATCCCAAATATAACATATGTTGCATGCAAATAGTTGTCAGGTGTGCTACTTTGGTTGACCAATGGAGCTATACACCAATGTGCAAAACCTGAAACAGTCACGTAATCAGTTCATAAACTATCACTAGCTATTATGTTATATACCTTTTCATATTAGACTGTTAAATGATGCATGACTGCTGCACATGGATGGCATATCATTCCTTTATGTGGACCCGGAGAGAGGAAGGTCGCGGGTTCGATCCCCAACCGCGTCATACCAAAAGACGTTGAAATATGGTACTTGTTGGTCCACGCCTGCCGCTCGGCATGACTTGGTACAACAAGGACTGGTCGGCTCGGAGTCAGTATAATGTGTCTAAGTGGGGTATTCATGCTTCACTGCGGCATGGTATCTCAGTGAGCTAGCACTATAAAACCAGCTTAAGTCTGGGCTAGTACAAGCAGCCGCACATACACATACACACGCATGCACGTCGTCATATGAGCGAAATATTCTCTAGCACGACATTAACCCCATTTCACCTCACCTCACCTTTATGTGGATATATATGGATACGTTCCTTGAACAAGGTAATATTATTCAATTCTAATATTTGTATTTTATTTGTATTCATTTGTTGTACCATTCAGCAGAATTATTCTGCTCCATTTTTTTCACCGTGAAATTTGATGAGACAGACAACATATACTAGGTCGCACTTTGCGCATGTGTGTGAAATGTGATTAACATTTGCAATCTATAAAATGTCTAGATATTATAGTCATGCTATAAATTCACTTAAACAGATCATGAACTTTTTATGAAGTTCAAAAATGCATAAAAATATAATTAATTCATCAGGATTATAAGACAAAAATAAAAAAAAGACATACATTGACTTCAGGGGTTTTTTCAGTCCTAACATTTTGTATCACTGGCAGATGAAGGTAAACTTCAAATTGTCATAATATTTAAGATGGAAATATCATGAGTGAAAAAGATTTCATCTTTGTTGATCAATGTAAGGATAT